AAGCTGACTCGCACAGTTCCGAGTCACCAAAAGCTGACTCGCACAGTTTCGAGTCACCAAATGCTGACTCGCACAGTTCCGAGTCACCAGAAGCTGACTCGCACAGTTCCGAGTCACCAGAAGCTGACTCGCATAGTTCCGAGTCACTAAATGCTGACTCGCACAGTTCCGAGTCACCAGAAGCTGACTCGCATATTTCCGAGTCACCAGGACTCTTGTTGGATACAAAACCTCCCCAAACACGGATTTCATTGATTTTTAAGGATTCTTTCGTCCCAAAACCTCTCCAACTGCTCTGAGGTTATCCATAAACACGTTTAGACAGTTATAAACCGCAGATAACGTTTAAACATCAATTCCTACTAGGAGACACATCTCAAAAAGCCTATAAATAGAAGCCTAAGGTCTTCTTTCAAGGGGATCGGAGATCTGAGATTAAGAAGGCGAGGTGCTGTCAAATTGACCAGTCAACCACGAATTTCAGAGGAGAATCATCAGAGCTTGGCGAACACTTTCATAAAGAAAGCCCCTTCGAAAGGTTTGTGATTCTTTTCCCTTCTTTCCTCCGGATTAAACTTGGTTTTAATCTCGAGAAGAGCCACAATCTCGCTTGGTCGTGATTGTCGCTTCCGTAATTGTTTCCCTCGTGAAACAAGAGCGTAATTATATTGTCGATCGGCTTTGGTCTGCGGTGGTCCACGGACTAACGCGTCCCCGGCACAGGCAAAGATCCCACGCAAAGCAGCGGGAGATAAACTACTGCTGCGTTTTGTTTGATAAAGTTGTAATCTTTATTTTTCGTTGTAAGAAGATCTTATAAAAGATCAACTCTCTTTTCAGTTTGAACTTGTAATCGATAAACGGTGTAACAGGTTTGAAAACAATGGAAAAAGCAACTTTTGACACAAACAAACTGGCGACCACAGTGGGAGCCGACAGCTTTTCTGCAAAAGCTGTAGTGTCGCAACCAAAGATCGTCATACCGATCAACGAGGAGGTCGAGTACGAGTTCGACCAAGCAAAATATGAAGAGTACTTATCCTCCTCTTCCCGATCATCCTCCCCTCGTAGGAATAGGAGAAACTCCACAAGGAAAGGTCGTAGACATTTGGATTTGAAGGTTCAAAATCAAGAACCTCATCCCACAGCGGTTCAAAAGACTCCTTGTGAAGCTGAAGCTACCAAGGCCGAGCCGACTTTATCCAAGAGGGCGCGTCAAAGACGGCGTCAACGCCTAGCACGCCAATTGGCCAAGGCCTCCGAGCCGGTGGATGGAATCCGCTATGAAGCGGATCTGAAGTCTAGAGGACGCCAACAGGCACAGCAGCGACTTAGCGATTGGGCCAAACCAACGACAAATGAATGGGTCCCCGTTAAGAGGACACGTTCCACTCTTAAAGAACGAACCAAGAAGCGCTACGCTTTGCTTGCGCACGCAAGAATCCTGGTACAAGAGGCCGAGAAACTACAAACAAGTACTGCAGACTTTAAACTGACGAAACCACGTCAAATCTGGAGGCCAAAATCTAGAACAAAGCCCGAAAAAACCGAGGCACAGGCTGCTGGCTCGGCCAAGGCCGAGTCACCAAACGCTGGCTTGGCCAAGGCCGAGTTACCCCAAGGCCGAGTCACCAAACGCTGGCTCGGCCAAGGCCGAGTCACCAATTGCTGACCCGCGAGCTGGTTCATCTCTCTCTGTAGAAATTTCGCCTCCTGCGACCAGCTTTAAGTCTCCGACAGCTCCTGCTTTTGTTCCAATGACTTCCTCACCTCCTGTAAAACCCCACGGCGGCGTGGACTCATCCCGAGTTAAAATGAGCATTATGGATCGTCTCGGCCCTTTGCATAAAAATAAACCCCGCATGATTTGTCAGAATGGGGGTCGGGAGCGAGTCTCCAGTAACTCAAAAATCCCTCATACAGAGAAAGTACCAGTAACCGCTCGCCTTGGGCTACGAGTAGAAGTTCGAGATTCTGTTGAACCCTCACGCGCGCGGAGGCGAGTTTTCAAACGAGCGACTCTTGAAAATAATGACGGAGCGATATATCCTCAAAGAGAGTTTTATTCATCAGAAGAAGACGATGTTAGAATAAGAGGGTTATGCCAACACAAGATAGGTGGCTCCGATAATAATATCGATGAGCTGTACTATCAGACTGAGGGTATGAGTAAATCTCGGAAGAGAAACTCCCGAGAAAGGGATTCTCGTTATCCTTGTACTAAACTCATCAAGGCAGTGTTAGCAGAATGTAACTGTTCCAAGACTGCCTCGCAAAGGATTTCAGTGTTTGAAAGACTTTCTACAGAAACGGAAAAAAATAAATCGAGACGTTTCCGTAAAAGAAAGCCACCCGTTCAGGAACGTGAACTTTCGGAATTCACGATTAATATGGCAGAAAAAGGAAAGTCCACGCGGCGCTACAACCCTGAGCCCTTTTCACAAATGTCCAAACGGTTAACTCGGCTGCAAACCGGGGCTATAAGGCCTAGAGATTACAATTACAACAGAATCCAGAGAGGACAGTCCTCAGACGAAGGAGCGTCGGATGCTAACTCAGCGATCGCTTCAGATGCTACTGTATCCAGTACAGGACAGTCTCGAGAGTCGTTCATGATCACCACAGAACAGATGGCTCAACTTCTTCAAGAAGCTTTGGCAAAGCAAAAGGAGGATTTTAAAATTGAAATGGAGATGGCTGTACAACGTGTTAAAGATTTACACGCACAACAACTCCAACAGCTGACAAACCAGCGCGGTGAATCTAGTCGTCGTCCGACCGCTAATCAGATAGATAGCGACTCAGAGGTAGAAGAAAATCTTAACATCGAGACTCCCCGCGAGAACAGGAATACGGAAGGCGTTCTTAACGCTGGGGGTGGTATCAATATCCATCCCCAAAATCGCCAGAAGAGAGAGGTAGGCGAAGATCTTAAGATGAAAGACTTGGAAAGCAAAATCAATGCTTTGATGTCTGCCCAAGAAGTAAAAAAGACTGGCATTCCGTGTCCCTACCCGAGGGAGTGGGACTCCATTCCATACCCACCGAAGTTCAATTTGATCAACTTCACACCATTCGATGGAAGGGGCTCCCCTACCCAACACTTGATTTATTTCAAGTCTCACCTGGGGATCATTTCAGGTAACGAACCTCTAATGGTACGATCGTTCGTAGGAACCCTTCGTGCTGCTGCATTTGATTGGTACCGCCGGCTTAAACCGGGAAGTATCACTACATGGGACGATATGGAAAGCATGTTTCTCGCTAATTTCTTCGACGATGACACGGAGGTGTCAATCGGGACGCTCTTTGAAGAAAAGCAGAAGGATGGAGAACTCGTGGAAAACTTTGTTAAACGCTTCCGGAACAAGGCAATGAACTGCCGAGATCCGGTCACGGAGGAGTTCATACTCCAGACGTGCCATAATAATCTTTCCATAGATGTATTAGAAGCTATGGGAACAGCACCGTCCAAAACGTGGAAGGATCTGAAGGTCCGAGGGGAGCAAGCTGAGCGATTCCTCCGAAGGAAGAAAGCCGAGAGGGGTCAATCAACAACTAAGCCTCCGAATTCTAACTTTGCCTCTCGTGGCAAAGGCAAATCACCTGCAACAGCTGTTGACGCTAACCAGACGTCGCAAAAGCAACTCCGAAAACAGCAAAAGACTTCGGGTCCGAGACTCCAAAAAGAGTACTCTTTCAAGGACGAAGACGTTCCAGCCATCTTCGAATCCCTCCTTGGAAGCAACAAGATCAAGCTACCACCTATCACAAATCAGGAGGAAGCTGACAACACGACGGATCCAAAGTACTGTGCATACCACAGGAGGGTCCTTCATCCCACCAAGAATTGCTTCACTCTCAAGAATAGCATTCAGACCTTGGTTGAAGCCGACGTTATATCGCTCAATTAAGTCGAAACAACACTCCAAAGAGTATACGAGTATAAACTGCTTCTCAATCCTCCAACA